GCAGGTGTCTTCCCCCGTAAACCTTCTTTGTCTGTTTATTTTATCGGCCTACAGCTAGGTCAGGATGAAGTTATTTCTTTCTTTTTTAATGAGGTCGTGATGTAATGATACCGTACATCAAGAAAAAGCGACCACACCGTCCGATGAAAGGTTTATTTCTTCACCAGGAGCTATGTGTTTGCATGAACATTCTACTATATCTGCATCGCAATGATACTGAACAATTCATATTATATATGAAGCCATGAATGTACAAGTTCTGCGCGTGTACATTACATTAGATTTGCACTGAAAACTAGTAAAGATCCTCAACATGGCGCTAACGTATGCCGACTCAAAGGAGTGATTAACTCCTCGATCGGTTAGTGGTTCCGTCCTAATGTAGTCGGTGGTGGGTTAACCTCGTCTGCTGTTCGAAGATATGCGTTAGGTGATCTCTCAGTCTCAGTATTTTTTAGAGAAGTTGATATGTTACCTCCATATATGCGTGGCAGCGTTGCAGGTTTGGCTAGTGTGCGCCATCCTACTTGGCTATTTTTTTAGGCAGGTGGCTCCAGATAGCGTCTCGGCTGCTTGCCTACTTTTGCTCTACTTTCTTGTACCTTCGATTTGAATCGAATTATCAATATACGTGAGGTCACCGCCACACAGCACGGTGTAAAAAATAATGGTTGAGGCATGTTTCGCACTACCAAAAATGAATTTGACGCTTGCGTTACACAAAAGACAAAGTCTTTTAGATTTGCAGGTGGACCTCGGGGAAAACTGTTGCATGGAGCCTTACTTTGCAGTCAACGTACTGCTGAACACAACTTTACATCTTAGCCCCGCCGCCGTGGTCTAGTGGCTAAGGTACTCGGCTGCTGACCCGCAGGTCGCGAGATCGAATCCCGGCTGCGGGGGCTGCATTTCCTAATGAAAGCGGACGGAAATGTTGTAGGCCCGTGTGCTTGGATGTGGGTGCACTGCACGTTAAAGAACCCCAGGTGGTGGAAATTTCCGGGGCCCTCCACTACTGCGTCTCTCATAATCATATGGTGATTTTGGGACGTTAAACTCTACATATAAATAGATAAATAAATAAATAAATAAATAATAAGTAAATAAATAATCAACCAATAAATAAATAAGTCAATCAATTGATCAACGAATAAATAAATAAATCACTCAATAAATGAATAAATAAATAAATAAATAAATAAATAAATCAGTAAATCAATAAATGAAGCAATAAATCAATAAATCCATAAACAAAACAATAAATAAATAAAATCAATCAAATCAATCAACTTTATATCGTAATTTGAAGTGAAGAGGCCAATCGAGGGTGCTTCGCGTCATGGGCATTCTGCGCTCACGGACGTCGCTAATAGTGAATATCTGAAGAACTGCTTGAATCATTTTTTTAGGATTTGGTAACAACTGCGACCCAGGAACATTATGATGAAACTTCATTATCACGCAAGAAGTCACTGTGATAATGACAACAATACGTGTGACGCTTCTCTTTTTTTTTCTAAAAAAAGCCAAATTCAGAAAATGAAAGTGGGCTCCAATTCATGGGAACTTAAAGCACTTATCTGTTTGTTTTGAGACCTAGCTGCTAAACTTTGTGGTAACCCAAATCACGCTTAAATGTATTTGACATTACAACCATTTGTGTTAGTTCATTTTTGTAATATGGTCTCGAAGAAGCCGTTTCAAATAAAAATAAACTTCTATATCCTGCACCATTTTGAATCAGCACTAGTCAGATCCACTAAAACTAGCTGTTCGTCAGCAATAATAACCAAAGCCACCAATATAGCCGCGTATAATTTGTTTCATTTGTCAGCTAGTTGCTTCGTTTTTGTTCTTTCAGTCATCAATAGGGTTTTCTTGGGTGGTTTGGTACTTTTTGAAGGAGGTGATATTCTAGGCCAGAGCTTGAATAGAAAGAGTAAAAGGCCGGATTTCCAGCTCGTATACCTATAATTTAGTATTTCGTTTTGCGATTGTGGGCTAGCGTACCATCTACCTTTCGTTCCAAGACAGTATCAGGCAAGAAGATAGAAAGGAAGTTACTGGACATCTCAATAAAGCTTGCTGACTGACTGGCTTATCCCTTGCAGAAGTGATTCTAAACGGTACGGCCTTAGAAGAAGCTGCAAAGCAGAAAGAGCGCTGAATAATTTTGGAGACCTGCAATGAATGTCAGAAAAAAAATAACGCTGCCGACACTGATTGGTGTGCCTTTTGCCTGGGAGAACCACTTGCTCTTCAAGTCTAGCTGGTCGCCATTACGCCCATGAAACAAAGATTGCCTCGACGAAAGCACAAGACGGTGTTAATTGTGCCGCCCAGATTTCACTCCTGGTAACCAAGATAGCGAACTTTACTTTAGCCGCAATATATGTTTGTGAAGTCATCTGACGACAGGAATACACCGGCAAAATTAGTTGGTACAGGTTCGACCGTATTATCAGTACCAAAAATCTGCGGCCGTTTCACTTAAAGTAGCTTTGGCTCTCGAAATTTTGCAGTTTCGCATATGTCTATTTGCAAGAAAAAATACATGAAGAATGGTCTCCCCCTTCCCTTTTCCACCCCCGAAAATTTTACGAGGTGCTCAGGATTTTTGCATACCGCGGCGCATCTCATTCACGCGCCTTACTTGAAGGGCAAGTTCAGCGCTACTCAAACACCACTGTTTCTGACGACTGCGATGTATATTACTTTTCTTTTGTCATGTCAGACGCTAAAGCATGAGCAGGGAAGTAATTTTCTGACTTAAAGAGCAGCTCGCGTATGGCGTATCGTTTCATAGAACTGCCAACTGCAAAGACAACACAGATGTATAAGAAACGAGCTGCAAGGTGATGGCTTTGAGTTTGGTAAAGTGCAATATGTGGGCGATTGTTGGTTGAACGGGAAATGCCGTATCACGCAAAAACAATAAACATAAGCATTGATAAAAAGGTCACTGTCAGCAGTTGCATCGGTAAGGCGGCACGAAATAAACGACTGGAAATGGAAGTGCCTGCTGAGTAACGTTGCGCAAAGCCTTGTTAGAAAGTTAGCTTTTGTTGTTGTTGCAAGCGGATAATAAACAAGTATTGAAATAAGTATTGAAATACGTTGAATATATTACATGATATTGTCAAAAGCACTTCTTGCACACGACTGCATGTGCTCTCAACACATCAGCTCTAGGCTAACACTGCGGCCGCTGATGCAGCTTCCAACCTTTTTTACATACGTCAAAAAATCAACTGTTCGTTAAATAAAGTAACCAGTGTTCTTTACATGACAAGAATCGGCATGTTCTGTATATGTGAGAATTATTTTATGTTGCTCAAAAGTTACACAGCAGTGTAAAAGCGCGCGCAGTATGCTCGCTTGCAGTCGTTCAGTTACTATCTCCGTTCGCCGTGCGAGTAATATATCTTACGCTGATTGTGATTAGAACTGCGCCAGCGCGTTTCGGAGAACGTAGAGTACAACCTGGCTACCCCGTTTTCATGCTGATTTCCAAAAAATGACGTTTATTCTTCTTCCAGTTGGCACGAGACACAAGCATGCGCAGTGGAGATGTGGACAACGCCGACGCACGAAGCGTGACATCGTGCGGCTAAGAAATGCTCCGCGTTTAAAAACAGTTTCAGGATCGCTTTAAGGCCAAACCACTCTTGCGTTTGCGGCATGTCAGCGCGTGCCTTTGTGACGCGGCGCCCTCTCTTTATAGAAGGAGAGGCTTTGAGGCTAACCCCCGTATTCAGAAGCGCTCCTCGAGTCGATTTTCACCCTACACTTGACAAAGTTGAGCACTACGCCACCACTCGGCCGAAAATGACGCTGCGCTACTCAGCAATCGCAGCAGACTATTGCTGATATGCAGTGACTTGCCGTGCCTGGAGATGGCGCTCTCATCGGCTTTCTAAGGGCTTCACCCTATAGTTCAGGTTGATGGCGCAGAGTTTTTCAAAGCACTGGGGTTTAGGGTTAGTGAGGGCAAAATAGACTTTAAGCGGGTAGAATTAACTAGAAGGAGGTTATCTGATTGGTGGCTAAAGTCAAGGCACGAGTGAAAATTGAACCCTTCGCTGCAAAGTATTTAAGGGGAAAAAATAAATCTAGTTTTTGGTTCATTAAGTATTACGGCTTGGTGGCGCTAGCCACCGCCCGATCTAAAGGGTACAGCCATATCCATCCACTCATCCATCCATCAAGGGAAGGCGAAGTGTTGAGTGAAGGGAGGTTCTAGAATACGGGGGTAAGTGAAGCCGCGCTCACCTCTCCCTCCATATGGAGACGACATGGCGCCGCGTCAGAAAGCTCTACGCTGACGGACTGCAACGCGTGCGTGCAGTCAGGCCTTTTGTCACCCTTGAGAGAAGGGCGCAGTTTGCCCAATATGTTGACTTAATGGGGAGAGGAGTGCAAGGATGAACCGTCGCCCGCACTTCCCTCCCTGAAGGAGAACCCTGCACGCTATTATGGCTGTATTGTATGTATGTCATGGGTTGATCTGAATGTGCTATAGCGTTCTAGCGCTCCCCCCAAGGCGTTACAGCTGGATATTACGTGCACGCAATACTTCATAAAAACCCTTGACGCAAGGAGTCGAGCTGACGAGCGGAGTTCGACGTCACACCGCGTACACAAAAAGGAGAAGTAGTGTGCAACTAGTCGGCGGGAAGGCGCCGATTCTTTTCTTTTCCCCCACTGCGTTTTTTTTTATATTTAAGCCACAGCTGTGCGGGAGCTGAGATGCGACAGCGAGCACCGTAGGTCCTGTAACAATACGAGTAAAGTGTAAGGAACGCATTGAAACCATACAGAAGCAGGTATTGGACCTGTCGACAGGGAAGGAAGAAAAAAAAAAGAAAGGGGTGTTCTTTGTTGAAAAACCGAGGTCTCTGTGCGGTCATTACTGTGCAACGTGCAGATTGTCTAAAATGAGGGGTAACCGGATTCAGAAAATATGAAATAGCGAATTTTTGTTCTTGTGCGTTTTTAGTATGGATATTAAGGTGAGATCGAAGAGAATAACGCTCGCTTTGTTTTACTCTTCGTGTGCTTGTAGGTGAGTGAAGAAGAAACAACGCTAGAAAAAAAGGAAATATTCAGCACATTTGATTACGCAAATATTACGAGCATGTTATCTTTCTACCACCGGGACGTTTTCTTTTACATGACGTTTCCTGGATGTTCATTCAGTACTAAGAAAGGTTAATGCATGCTTTTTTGTACACTTACGTTATTATCCCATTAATAGAGGAGAGCGAACCTCGCTGCGACTGTAAATGGTCGGGCATGTTTTGAAATGAGCACTCACGCAGAATAAAAAAGAACGCGAAAACACCTGCTCAGTAGCAACATTCTTTTGAGGCCACCAGGATATTGGCCAATCTTCCGCAAAGCACCACCAGTAAATGAAAATGAAACGGAAAGTTCGTGTCCTGGGTGGTGGCAAGCAAGCAAGCAAGCAAGCAAGCAAGCAAGCAAGCAAGCAAGCAAGCAAGCAAGCAAGCAAGCAAGGCAAAGCAAAGCAAAGCAAAGCAAGGCCAAGCAAAGCAAGGCCAAGCAAAGCAAGGCCAAGCAAAGCAAAGCGAAACAAGGACAAGCAAGGCAGGCAAGGCAGGCAAGGCAGGCAGGCAGGCAGGCAGGCAGGCAGGCAGGCAGGCAGGCAGGCAGGCAGGCAGGCAGGCAGGCAGGCAGGCAGGCAGGCAGGCAGGCAGGCAGGCAGGCAGGCAGACAGACAAACAAACAAACAAACAAACAAACAAACAAACAAACAAACAAACAAACAAACAAACAAACAAACAAACAAACAAACAAACAAACAAACAAACAAACAAACAAACAAACAAACAAACAAACAAACAAACAAACAAACAAACAAACAAACAAACAAACAAACAAACAAACAAACAAACAAACAAACAAACAAACAAACAAACAAACAAACAAACAAACAGACAAACAAACAAACAAACAAACAAACGTTTTAGCTTGTGTAATCACACAGCAATGCAGTATTTTTTGACTGATGACGAAGTCTTGGCTGGTCTCCCAGAACGCATATGTGCCAATGTGTTGAGTAGCGCCTCCACTATTGAAGGCGAAGTTCTTAAAACCGTGGGTCTGTCCATGCATGTCTCTGGCCGGTTCGTAACCCCCTAGTTGTATGACTCACTCAGGAGGTGGCGATAGTATGAGTGACAGACAGACAGACAGACAGACAGACAGACAGACAGACAGACAGACAGACAGACAGACAGACACATGGACGGACGGATGCATGGACGGAAGCAAGAACGAATAGACGCATGGAAGCACACAAAGATGGACGGAGGGACAGAAGCATGGGTGCACGGACGGATGGATAGATACTTCGCCCCGTGGATACGCTGCAATTTTTTAGGGGCGAAGCTCCTTATGGCGTGGTTTGTGCGTCCCTCGCAGTACGTAACCACCAGTGGCCCATATCCGAAATAGGTATAACATTTGACCTCCGAGGTGGTGCCGGTGAGAGATTTTGTTCTGTGCGTTGTTTAACGATAAAAAATAGTGCTCAATGTACATGCCAATGGCTGCTAATGGGGAATGAGAGACAGGAGCATTCGGCTTTTAGTCAACGCGCACGCTGCGATCCCCATTAACAGCCATTGGCATGTACATTGAGCAGTATCAGACAAGAAAGGGTTGCTACATTATACTCGCTGGGTGTAACCTCCTTAGTTTTAGAAAGGTTTAGCGAGCGTTGAGCCGCAGGGCCATGAATACAATGAACTAGTATATACCATGAATGAATTCGAGGTGGTTAAAGGGGGGAAGTAGATACGAAGCGCAAGCCGTAAGAAATTAAAAGCTGAATCCTCCTGTCTCTCATTTCACATTAGCAGCCACTGGCATGTACATTGAGCACTATTTGACAGGAAAAGGTTGCTACGTTATACTCGCTGGGCGTAACCTCCTTGGTTTTCGAAAGGTTTAGCGAGCGTTCGGCCGCAGTGCCATGAATACAGTGAACTACGTAGTATATACCATGAACTCGAGGTGGTTAAAGGTGGGAAGTGGACCCGAAGCGCAAGCCGTAAGAAAGTGTGCGTGTGCCACCTCTCGTTTAGTCCTTGTAATGTCCGCTGGATGGTGGTGCTTCTATATGGGGAATATATGATGAAAAGATGCGAGATGGTGGGACTTGGAATGTTGAATAGATAGACGAACGGACACACAGACAGATGCATGGATGGACGCATGAACGGACGCAGGGGCGGATGCATGAACAAACGCAGGGACGGACGCACGAACAGACGCATGGACGGTCACACAGATGGACGCATGGACGGACGAATGCTTCGCCCCACTCTCCATCATTCACTCCGTGGAAATGCTGCCATTTTTTTTTATCAATGCCAGCTAGATGCGACCGATCCAGTTCTTCACAACCCTCTTCTCTAGCCCTTTCTTGCTCTCGATAATCGCCCAGCCTTCGCGGGTGCTTTGCGGTCATGTGGCAGAGGACCCCTCATGCAGTGCCTCACGACGGAAATCTTCAATTGTGTACAGATCCCCGTATTCACAATGTTGGCGGTCACGCTGGCTCTGTAAGAGATACGGTGTTTTGAGATAGCGTGTCGCAGTTGGCGTGACGCTGTGCCGTGACGCTGTGCGGGCAACCAATGAGGGCGCGTCGCTGCTACGCTGCTAGATCACTAGGGCTGTGAGGTGGCGCGGCATTGCTTCAAGCCACAAAGAAGGAGCATGAAAAAACAAATCTGGTTGATGTATGATATTGTAGAGGGACACGCATTTATAGCGCTCGGACGCACGTGTGATGCAAGCAGCCCTACTTCTTATGTGGCATCTCACTACGACCACTCTTCGAACTAAGCCAGACCGATGGCCCCCGTTGAAGCGCGCGCATTTGCACTGTCATTGAATGAAGTAAAGGTGACGCTGGTGTTGAGGAACCGGAACCACACCAAACGTTATTAGAGACGCTGGCCTATAGGAGGTCTTTATTGGTCGGTGTGGTGTCGTGCGTCGGACGCGTCGCACGGAGAACCCGAGGCCTGGCACCCAATGCGCGGGCAGTGAAGAACGAAAAGAAAGTGGCACACATGAGACCCGGAAGGAAAACTCTCATTACTATGTACACGAGCATCTCTACATATCTACTACATACCTCTACATATCTACTAGTATCTCGCTTTTTTTTCTCTTACTTTACACTTATTTTGTTTGATGGTTTGAATACTAACGTCATTCAGTTCTGTTGTGTTTGATTCAGTGATGTTTTCTCTTGAATAATGGAAAGTCTGTTCACAATTTAAGCTTGTTTTTTAGCTTGTTTTAAATCATTATCTAACGCGTATACTCACCTGATGTTCATTGCCATTCTATTCTTATTAAAATGACTAATAATATTTTCTCATTCTTATTCCTGTCAGGACTTGTATAATAATTGACATTTAGTTCATGTTATTGTTTGTATGAAAAGTGTACCAATTCATCTATGTATTCCTTTTATGCTCCCCTTACACAATGCCCTGTTGGGTCTGTAAGGTATTTTGAATAAATAAATAAGTATACAATTGTACAACGCCCTCTAGGGGTCAGCCAACCGGTTCCGAAACCAGAACTGAAATCCCGACTCCACAGTATGGTCCTTGAGATGGCACTGACCGTAGCAGTGCATCGGTACGTATGTGAGTTCATGTTTCCTTTTTAAAAAATGGAACAAAGAGAAAGGTAGACACGTTGTTTTCTCCGTCTTATGATGTTCATCAAAGTGTTGTTAAGAAAGCTCAGAGGCTTCAGCTAATGCTCCATAATGATTCATAATGTCTTCTGTTCATTAAAAAAAGAATATCGATCCATTTTTTATTACGCCTTCTCCAGCTAGATTCGCCGCTTTTCTCTTGTAGTGGGCAGCACCATAACACCAAACCCCAATTGCCATGACTTCCACTAGTCGTCGTCTTCTTTGAGTCGTTGTCTTCCGCATTCTCGTTCACGCACCCAGCTCTCTGTGCGGCCACAACGGGAGCAGCAGTGGCAGCAGGTCGACGTGCGCCGGCGTGGTGGCGAGGCCTCTATGGAGCACAGCCCATTCCGCAAGGTGCTCAGACGCAGCTGCAGACACGAACTGTGCCTGCAATGCCTACGCACTGTCCAGAGGAGCGTTGGCAGACAGGCCAGGCCATACAACGCCTCACGGGCGCAGATGGCTGAGCTGGTGAGGGAGGTGTTCGGAGACAGCGTGTTCACTTCCTGCACGCAGCAGCTCGAGGACGGCAGGAGCGGCGGCGACGGTGACGGCGAGGAACTGCGCTTCCGCTTCCAGGTGAAGCTTCTGGACGCCGATGGCCTCTTCGACGTCGGCGACAGAAGGTACGCCCATTGCCGTTTGTGGGCCAACGAAAGCGATGGTAAGACCTCGGAGGTGTTCAAGCGGAAGTGGCTCCCCGAGTCCACCGTCGATATGTTCGTTAATGTGCGTGAGCCCTCAACGAGCCGCCTTGTTCTGGAAGTGCTCGCCAAGGAGCAACTGCAACACCTGGGACGCCATCAGAACGCTGGTTCGTCCTGGTTCCCTGAGCACGCTGATTGAGTCTCTCAGGAAGCTCTTTAACAACTGCTTCAAGGCCGAGTCAGGCGCTAAAGCTGGTGGGCCGGCTTGAAAAACCGATAGAGGAGATACCATGCGTCGGAGTTGAGGAGTGGTACGTTCTGCAAGGATTCTTCAGGACAGGAACGTCGACGCCAAACTACAGATTTCGGTCACGTTTCACACCGTGGCCACCACCGACATCAGCGTGCTGGAGCGGATACGCGAACACTACGCCCTGAGTTTCGTCTTTCTCGAGCACAACGTCGAGAACGCCTCTGAGGACAGTGTGGCTCGGTGGACCAGGTGGTCGGACTGCGTGGGGCGACGCGGAATCACGCTTCTCCGGCAGCACGCGATGCAGAACAACATGCAGGACGTGGAGGCCCACTGCTGCTACCTGCAGGCGGTCACTGAGCACAGGATGAAAGTTAACACCCAAATCAGTTTCGTAGTGATGTACTTGCTCCTCAAAGAGCTCCAACTCGAATTGGGTAACACGAGGCATCGCTTCGTCAGCGATGCTCTTGATCAGCTTATTCGGGGCCTGTCGGAGCACATAAATGCTCAACTGGAGAACCTCCATAACCAGTATTACCTAGAGTTCGAGCTGCACGTCACAGACCTCTCTGGGGCACTGTCGGTGTGCGCGCTGATGGAAAGCATGAGCTCTCTGCCCATCGTGGAGTCGGCTCGGGTGGCTCTTCAAAAGAACGAGCGAGAATGGTACGAGCAGCTCGCAGAAGCGTGTGACGAAAACGCCACGCTGTCAGCAGTCGCGGGCACGCTTGAAAAGATTCGGCTACACCAACTAAAAGCCAACCGGTTATTCCAGCAATCCTGGAACGAGACGTACACTAACATAGTCATGCACCAACTCGACGACTTCCTTTTCAAGTACCTGAAGCCTTGGGTAACTCGGCTGGTCGAGGGCGTTTTTGCATCCTCGCCCGGAGAGGAGGAAGAGAGGACACTGACTTCGATCGAAGCGTTCCTGGTGATCAAGACGTTCCTGGAAGAACTCCCCATGCAGAATGTCAAGCCCAAGGTATTAAAGGTGGAGAGATTCCGCGAATGGTTTGGACCGAGGATTGTCGAGCGCTGGTTTAATTTCGCGTCGCGAGCCAGCGACATCATACTGGAATTCGTGGCCGCAGATGATCTAGTGCCCATGAATGCCAACGTCAAGTACAGTTCCTCTTTCGTCGAGACAGCCGACGCCATCAACGCCAGCGTCGTCAGCATCTGGGTTCTGCTCGAGTGGCCTGAGCACGCGTGCAGCTTTGCTTTCGTCGAGTGCGTGCAGCAGTGGGTCACTGTCTACGCGGCAGCCATCGAGCAGAAACTCGAAGAAACCGGTGGTGGTGGTCGCGACGGCGCTAGTGGCAGCGGCTGCACCGTGCCGGCCAGGCTGTGCGTTGCCGTCAATGACTTGATGGGTATCGTCGCGTTTGTGCAGCAGATACGCTGCAAGATTGTCGACACGTACGTCGGATCTCGCGAAGGGTTGTCTCGATTTGCGGACGTCGACATCAAAGTCCACAACACCCTCGTGGTCGTTGATGCCTCCAAGGACAAGCTCCTGGATTTCATAGTGCACCGGCTGCTGCCCGATGTCGAGCCCCGGATTGAGAAGGTGCTCCGGGCGCAGAACACCATGACTCAAGAAGCAGATGTGGAGGGTCTCCTGCGGACCGTCATGGCGTGCATCACCTCACTGCGGGTCAACCTAGAAGCGGAGGCGTTTGAAGCCGTGCTGTGCTTGCTGTGGGCCAAGATGACTACACTTCTCAAGCAGGCCATCTCGCGGATGCGTACACGCTGCGGCGTGGACTCGCGGGCGTACTCGGCCTCGTATCTTGGCCTGTCCGTGATCATCCAGCAGCTGCCCAAGTGCTTCATCATCAAGGACAGCGGCTGGCCTCTCACCGGCGGCCATGGCGGCTGACGTCTCCGCAAGGTTGCGAGAGCTCAAAGAGGTGTTTTGGGATCAACACGGCGCTGGGGACGTCTGACAGCAGACGGTGACGACGTCGTGGTCTCTCTCGTCCTCTTGGACTTAGAGAATGAACATTGCTTTCTCTTTTTCCCGCAATTAAAGCAAGCACATTGGTCGCTAGGTCCGTATGTGTCTGGGAAATGAATTAGCCAATTGGTAAGATACGAAGCATTAAAAGCTTTACGATATAGTTTTTCGCACAGAAAAAAAAGAAAAGTGAAATTGGTTTGAACGAATGGGATTAGAAGGACGAAGAAATTGGATTTACGGGAGTTGAACTCGCGGTGTTGGCTCCTTACTTATCGGCTCATGAACGTTAAGAGATACACAACCCTCGATAGGCTGAAAAATTCTGAGTGAAAATGAAAAGGCTGGCGCTTTGTTGGTATAGCGTAAATTGATATCTAGGCCAAAAATAATGCTCTTTGTTTTCTCTCTTCATTACTGTGCCAAAGTTACAGGTGCGAGATCGGTCATGTTGATATTGAAGGGAGGGTCGTGTAAAGGCGACGTCATATATGAATGTCTCTTCAATGGGGGAGACATCAAAGTAAATTTGTTGGTGTAATGAATAAAAAATCTAAGTTGGCCCTAATCGTATACAAAAGCACGCTCACCTTTTGCTTTCTTGCAATTTACAAAAGAAGTAAATATTGCTTATAAGCAAGCGTTTTCTTCTATTAAATAAATTCGTGCAAGAGCGCGCGCGCGCGCGCACACACACACACACACACACACACACACTAACACACACACACACACACACACACACACACACACACACACACACACACACACACACACACACACACACACACACACACACACACACACACCACACACACACACACACACACACACACACACACACACACACACACACACACACACACACACACACACACACACACACACACACACACACACACACACACACACACACACACACACACACACACACACACACACACACACACACACACACCACACACACACACACACACACACACACCACACACACACACACACACACACACACACACACACACACACGAAGCTGGGACTATAGCCATGGTCGTGCACGAGTACGATCATCATCATCATCAGCCTGACTACATACATTGCAGGGTAAAGGCCTCTCCCATGTTCCGCCAGTCAACTCAGTCTGGTGCTTGCTGCTGCCAATTCATACCCGCAAACCTATTAATCTCATCTGCCCACCTAACCTTCCCCCTAACCCGCTTGCCTTCTCAGGAATTCAGTTAGTTACCCTTAATGATGGAAAGTTGCTTTGTTCGACCCCGCCCGTCCCGGCCCCTGCAGTGCTCCCGTTCTGGCCGCTTCGGGCACGCAACCGCCACCTGCTCTCGAGACGAACGGTGCCTGCGCTGTGGCATAAAGCTCGCCCCAGGATCGTGTGCAGCACACCCTCGCCGCTTAAACTGTCGCGGGAAACATCCTACAACCGAGCCGCGCTGTCCAGCCTGGTAGCTCCATCGCAGGGCCGCGGTCATCGTGGCCTCAACCAACGGCACCGTGACTCACCGCCAAGCCCTGCAGCATGCTAGGACCCCTGGCAGCAACGCCTCCATAATCAAGGGACGCTCCTTCCGAGATGCGCTCACCGGTGCCGGCGACATGACCTCGGAGGCCACCCCTCGTCCTACAACGAGTGCGCCCGTCGTCCCCACTACAACGACGACGGCCCCACCCTCATCCACGACTCAGCCGGCCCCTACCGTCGTCCAAAAGTGCTCGACGGTGATGCAAACATCGCGCGCTTTTTGACAACCGCCGGTTCCTGTCACCGTCCCCAGAAGCACGACGACTGAGCCCGCTACCTCGACCTCGCAGCAACCTGACATCAAAACCAGGAATGACATCTTGACTGGGCTTCGGTACTTCGAATGGCGCTCAGGGCCCTCCCAGTTGGCTCCCACGAGCACAATTTCTGTGTTGTGCCTCTGCTCGGCTTCGAGTCCATGGCTGAATGATTTGACCTCTCCCTGGAAGAACCGACGGCACTACGTGAGTTCTTCTCTGGCCCGTGTTAAAACGTGCACATCACTGTACCCCCGGCCTTCTTGGTGGTAATCTCAGTCGACTGCCGTGTGGCATACGGGTCTTCTTGCGTGTGCGCGACTCGCAGTTTGAATGCGTTTTTTTCCCGTGGTGTTTTCAGCGCCGGATAAGTTACAGCGGCTCTGCAAAGCTGTCAATCCTCTCAAATCACACACCACTGGTTGTCTTTTAAGGTTACACCTACCATTTTCCTTTCCATTGCTCGCTGCGTCGTCCTCAATTTAAGCTGAACCCTCTTTGTAAGTCTCCAAGTTTCTGCTCCGTAGCTAAGTAGGCCAGATACAGCTGTTATATACCTTCCTCTTAAGGGATAGTGGCAATCTACCTGTCATGGTTTGAGAGTGCTTGCCGAATGTGCTCCACCCTATTCTTATTCTTCTAGTTACTTCAATCTCGTGGTTCGGCTCTACGGTTATTATCTGCCCTAAGTAGACATAGTCTTTTACAACTTCAAGTGCACTATTACCTATCTCTAAGCGTTGTTCTCTTCCGAGATTGTTATACTTTCGTTTTCTGTAGATTAATTTTAAAAGCTACTTTTTTTTGGTCTCCTTGTCTAACTCCGTATTCATGAGTTGCAATTCATTCCCTGAGCTACTCAGCAATGTAATGTCATCGGTGAAGCGCAGGTTACTAAGGTACTCTCCATCAACTCTTATGCCTAACTGTTCCCGTTCTAGGCCTCTGAAAACATCCTGCAAGCACGCGGTAAATAGCATTGGGGATATTGTATCCCCCTGCCTTACACCTTTCTTGATTGGTATTCTGTTGCTTTCTTTATGAAGCACTGTGGTAGCAGCTAATTCCCTGTAGATTTCTTCTAGGATGTTTATGCTTCATCGACGCCCTGATTCCGCAATGTCTGCATGACTGCTGATATTTCTACGGCATCAAACGCCTTCTCGTTATCTATGAAGGCTATGTATAGTGGTTGGCGACATTGTGAGCATTTCTCTATTACCTGATTGATAGTATGAATGGGGTCGATTGTTGAGTAGCCTGTTCAAAATCCTGCTTGTTACTTTGGTTGATTGAATTCTAATGTTGTCTTAATTCTGTTAGCAATTACCTTTGTAAATAGCTTGTATACTACGGAGAGCAAGCTGATCGGCCTGTAATTCATCAAGTCCATGTCATCTCCTTTCTTATGTATTAGGATGATGTTAGCATTCTTCCAATATTCTGGTAGTTTCCCGTCAGGAGACACCTCGTAAACAGGGTGGCTAGTTTTTCTAACACAATCTGTCCTCCATTTTTCAGCAGATCTGATGTTACCTGGTCTTCACCAGCAGCTTAGCCTCTTTGCATGCTCTCCAAGGCTTTTCGGACTTCTACTATCATTACTGGTGAGGTGTCATCTGGGTTACTGCTAGTTCAATATATCCAACGAGTGAGATATATCCATTCTAAACCGCGCTATTAAACTTGACTTCTGTAATTTAGTAAAGAAGCCTTTTGACGTCACAGGAAGAGTTGCGATGAATGAAAGTACTTTCTATCCTCTTTTTTGTTGTGTTGTGAATCTGGTAGACAATGCATCTTTTGAACGACAGCCGTATATATGTCTTGAAGCAGTTACTGCAGAGCTGTGTATTGACATTGGATCTAACTTTTGTAAAATAAACAATTATTCGTCCTCGTAAATCACATGTTATACAGATGCTTCATAGAAGCAGATGCAGCATCGATATGCATCTGCACTGTAATTTAAGCCGCATTCTTTAGGCCTGTCGAGAGCTTGCACCTAGACAGGGAAGGTATTTCAATCAGGCAGGTCTGATTCCTTGCGCTTCCAATGCTCAATGACGACGTGTTGGCGTCTGCCGTAGTGCTGGTGAAAGCCTATGGGACGATACCATATGCTGCCGTGACACAGCTATAACTGCTGTCGCTATCTGAGACGTCTCATAGCAAGACTGTTAGTGGTGGTAACACGACAGCATCATTTTGTCTTACTACTCGGTCGCAAGAGCTATCCCTTTCCGAGAAACCAAATACAAGAAGCATAGTGGTTTCACGCGGAACACTCTGTAACGACTGAACATCGCAGCTAACATGATGTCTCTTTTGTTTTAGTAATCAATCCATACAACAGTTCAATGAGTTCCAGGTATTGTGAAAGGCAAGAATGGCTATGCTGCTCACCTGCTCTCGCGAGAAGCTCAGATGACAGCGAAGTAAAGGAGGACAGGCAGAAACAGCTTTAGAATGGTTCGGTGAAGTAAACGTTGTGGCCTGGTCTGCTCGAAATTTCAGGATTGCACTATTGCTGTTTGTTTTTACTCTTTATCAAACTCTTTATGGTTCTCATTTTACATAATTTGTATTGAATGTTTCCTTCTATATAACTTTATTAATAGGAAGCATTGCGGTGCTCATTGAAAGGTTACGCTACGCTTTCATGGCCACTCCCCCAGTGTGACTATGTGCCATAATATAGAGGAATCAAATCAAATCAAGCCCTAACAGCCGGCACAGGAACGGGTGCTGTCTCTGTTTCTACTCTTTACACTATGTAGATCGAGTGGGCGTATAGTCGTTTTTTTTTTTTCGTGGGCCCCGTCATCTTGCTAGTGGACGGCCCTTTTCTGGTCTGGCGACCCATCTGGCATGCGGGAAGCTCGCTGTTTGCATAGAAGGTAAGCATGCGGCTGCGGTTTTCGTCGTGCCGTTTCCCTCTTTACGTGGGGATTTTTGACAAAAGTGATGCAGGTTCTTCAGAAAAGGTGTCTACGAGATGTTCTGACAAGGAGCAAGTGGTTGAGGGCCGATTACTTTAATTACTTTATCATACAGTGCCGTGAACGAGTCTGCTTGTTTTGATGCAGTATATTCACAGCACCGACTTTATGCACGAAAAATTCGCA